TGATGACAATTTTTAGATTAACATGCCATTTCTGAAATGTTATCTGGGTCAGAAGGTTGATGTAAGTCTCATTGTCCTTGGTGGGATTTTCAAAAACTTGTTGTTCAAGTTTTGCAGAGGACTTAGGTAGTAAGGCATTAATCTGGGATTGTTGAAAAAGGATTTGGCTTCTGAGGGTAAGAATATTATGAGCAGTGGAATCTTTCAAAGCCTTGCCCTCTTACTTTAGGAGTGAAATCTCTTGCTTGGTTTGTTTGATTTCTTTATAGTGATCTTGAATCGTAATTGGCATATGGGGTTGTTTACCAAATCTTTCAAAGATATTAGTAAGGTTGTAAGTATTTGGTATAACAACGGGAGCTTTGTCATTTCTTTGGCCAATGCTGTTGGTGAATTTAATCAAGCATTCCTTGCGTTGATCAAGATCTTCTATTTTGTCAATGAGTTCCAACATAAATTCTTGGTCCTTAGTAATCATACAGATGCATTTGATTTTGATAGGTTGGTCATCCAAAGATGGGTTGGAAGAATCAGAATCGTAATCTGTATCAGCATGATAGTCATCTTCTTAAATACTATTGATATCATGTTCGGATTCTTCATCTGAAGAGTTTAAAAGAATTTGCATCAGCTGGCTCCTAACGGTTTCAGGGAGATCGAGCTCATTGATCTTCTGTTTGGCTCTACAATCGCGTTTGTAGTGACCCATCTTGCCACACTTGAAGCATTTTATATCTGCTTTTGAGGTGGTAGGTTTTTTTTGAAAATATCTTGGAGGAGGGTCATTTTTCTGTCTATTTTTCTCAGAGGAGAGATATTTATCTGCAAATGAGGGTTTGCTTTTGTTATACCGTGACCTGTTTTCGTATCTTTTGGGAAAAGGCTTGCGGTAGCGGGTGTGACTTTTTCGTTTGGAAGGAGGGGTTAGGTTTTTGAAGCCGAATTGTTGGTAGAAAGTTCCTAATTCTTTTCGGCTAGTGGCATTCTCATGCTTGATTTGCTGTTGGAGTTTGAAATCGGTGCAGAGAGCAATCCCTTCAGCTGTGATGGTACTAATAATGTCACCATAGGTAAGGGAGTCGTAAGGAATATGGCCATTGTGTTTTGATCTGAAATGCTTGTGAATTCTCAAAAGATTGGGGAGTCCAGCAATGAACTTTTCTTTCCAAAAGGCTTGGTTACAATCAGTCCTGGTGAGGACCTTTGAGAGGAAGACATCCTTGTACCATCTGAAATCCTGAAGTTTGCAATATCGAAGGTTAGCTAGAATTTCTGAGGTCTTGTCTCTAACAATTGAGAGGTCACCGAGGAACTGTTTGACGATAGAGAAAATAAGAGCAGCAACTGCATCTTTTATATCTGCACCTTCTTCTGTTTTGATAATTGTTCCTTCAGGAGTTATTTTGACAGAGTTAAGAATGGCTTGTCGTTTATCTAGAGTGAGGATGTTGTCCTACCATCCTTTGAGTTGGCCTGTGAATCCTCCTACAAGGAGTTGTGCTATAGCATGATCAGAAGAGTCATTCTTGGTTTTGTAAGCAGTGCTGACCATTGTCATTTCTTGAAGTGTATTGAGAATGTGATACTCAGTTTTGCCATCTATGTTCCATTCATAAATGATACCACCATGATAAGCAGCTTGGGAAAACTGGCCTCATTCTTCGATCTGGAGGTCAGGGAAAGTTGGCCTGGGATAATAATTTCGAAAAGAAGTTGATTCTAAAGTATTGACGTGTTGGTTCTGTAAGACCTCAGTAATTTCATCAATTTCAGTATCAGTACCAATTTCTTGGTCAAGAGTATTGATGGCTCTAAGAGGTCTTTCAGGCGTTTCAGGAATCGTAGTTGTGAGGTCATAAGGGATTCGATATGCTTAATCCTGTCCTGTGCTTCTTCAATGGCACTACATTTTTATAGTTGTTTATACAAGTGTAAGGGGATTTCATGGGGTATGAAAAGGGAAGCATTATCAGATTGAATGGGGATAATTTGTTCTTTCTGAAGCAAGGTTTCCACACGAGAAAGCTGATCGCCAAGTGTCTGGAGGTGTTGGTTTGTGTAGTTATTTTGTTCCATGATGCTTCGGACATCACGGGTCGTGGATGTGGTATTGTCATTGGCGACTGCCTTTGTCTTGAAAGGAGAAGCAGTAAGTGTGACTGTTCCTGACGCCTTTGTCTTGACTTTGATTGCCTCGGTTGGGGGATGGATGGCTTCAAGAGCCTCACCACGTGATGTTTGCCAGGTAATGATGGATTTGGTTGTGACATTTAAGGATTTGATTGTGGAGAAAGGAAAATCAATATTGTTGTCGAGACAATATTTTTCAAACCATGTGAAGAAAGGGGCTGAGAACTTGTGTTGTATGCAGAAAGCATACCACTTTTCTCTAATAAGGATAGTTTTTTGAGTTGAAAAGGTTTGGAAATACCATTGTCTTTTGGAATCATTGATCGCAGAGTAGAAATCTTTGCGTAAGAAGTCTTTATCGATCTTATAAACCTTTTCTATCATGTAGAGCTGATGAACCTGATGATCGGTATCTTCAAATTGAGAATCATTTGGGGATGGAGGGGAATCATGACGATCTTCGTTTAGGGGAGGGTTTTGCAGACCTTTGTTTGAGAACTAATTTGTGTAGGTAAAGGAGTGCTGCGAAGAGGATGGATGTCTTCTTCCTCAGTCTGTATGCTAACATTGTCCTGGTAAACTGGGTTAGCAACTTCTTTGTTTTTGACACCAACGAGGTTTGGATACCTTGTAGACATTTCTGAAAATGATTTTCGGGAAGGGGCTTTAGAATAGTTTGAGGAAGTAGCATGAGAAAAAGAGGATCTAGAACTTTCTATTTCTTAGATAGAAGGTCTAGATCTTTCTATTTCTTGGATAGTAAGTCTATTGGACCTGTTAGAATTAAATCTAACCTTTACTGTGCCATCAGAAAATTGAGATATTTGTTCCAACCTTTTATGCTCGATCTTTGAAGGAGGAGCTGCATGCTCGAGAGTCCACTCTGTCAGGAAGGTGACTTCATTCCAAGTGATGGTCCTCGGAACATAAGTTTGTGAATTTTCGTCACTAGCATGAAGAAGAAGGGTTTCTCCTTTGGGAGACTCACAAAGAGCATGGGGGCTGACTTGGGTTGTATAGACTTTGTAGTGGATTCTATAGACAACATTGAAGGGTATGGCTCCATCCATCATTTTGTAACCACTACTTGAAACATTGAGGGTTAAAGTATGGAGGATTGTTGGATCATCAAGAGCTACTGAATAATTTGGAAAACAATTGAAGTATTGTAGGCCATCAAAAAGACTTTGGCAAACTCCTAACAAAGAGGTTTCAAAATCGAGATGCCTACAATCCCTTAGAGTAAGCGTGATAGTAGTGTTAAGTCCCCTTGATGTAAGAGGTTTAACTGCAACTTGGACAAGCCCTATATGTAGGAATTTGTACTTCTTTTTGTATTCTACTATGACTCTTTTTTGCAAAAGTTGGATAACTTCAAAAGAGTTTTTGAGATAAATAACTGATAATGTAGGAATATCATATATTTTATTAGAGAAACAGAATAATGAAAAGGTTAAATAACTGATAATGAACTATGAGAATATCAGTTATTTGAGAATATTTCCATTATCAGTAATGTAGGAATTTGGTTCAGTTCGGTTTGATAGTTTTCTCTCTCTTTCTCTCTCTTTTAGTAATATTTTTACTGTAACATCGTTTCTTTTTTCCCTCTCACCTTTTTACACTACAGCAGGAAGACTAAGAATTCAGTTGTTATAAATAGATTATTGCATTAATTTTCCAATTGTTCTAGTCTTTGCAAATAGTTTACACTCTCATTTTGCCCACGAAAAGCTGGAGCTTCAAGTTTGAAAGAAATACCATAATATTAAATTTACTGGCATTAAGTTTCGGTAAATTGCACTCAAAGTCCCGAGGTTCGTCCTAACTATACATAGATGTATAATTTGGCGAAACCTGTACTTGAGGTTTTGGCGCGTTATAACACTCAACTCCCACTAGTCCTCCATCAATCTAAAAAGTATTCTTTTTAACAAAAAAAAAAAAAATCTAAAAAGTATTCTGACACTATGTGAACTGTTCGTTTTACGCTCCACTTACTCGAATTTAATGGTGGTTGTCCAAGTAATTTCTTGATTTGAAAAAGAAAATGGACGCAACGGTTATAAAATGGTAGGAATGAGGTGTTTTTGTAATTTTCTTACTTTTTATGGTTCAAAATGTCTTTTACTAGAATGAATGGTATTGTGAAAATTTTAATTTATTAAGTAAATAATATCAGCAAAATCCGTGTAATTTATCCTAGATGAAAAAGATTGGGCCTCAAAAAAAAATGAAGGTGAGAAAGGAGAGCAGAGGATCCTAGTAAACCTACTATTATGAGATTTAATAATATAAGGAAATAAAATTTTTAGGGAGGTTATAATAAATAAAAATATTAAAAATTTTGGTTCAAAAAACAGAAAGTGGGAAATAATATAAATCTTTTATCCGACTAATAATAACTCTCTTTAATAATAGAAGGTAATAATAATATATAAGGAAATAAAAAATAAATAAATTGGGGCCTTCTTATTAGTTGGGACATTAGGGGACCGCCCAAAGCTCCAGCTGGCCCGTTGCCTGCATCTTGCATCAGACCTCCCCCTCACCCGGACATCCCTCCGATTGGTGAAGCTCTGCATCCAGCAAGCAACTCGAATGCATTGGTGACTGATAACTGTCACATTGTTGCCTATGGCTTGTTGGGCCTGTTTCTGACCCGAGAAAAAAATGTAATGATCTGTGGGGCTTTTTTTTTTGGGCTCTTCCCTCTTGGGTCAAATAGCTTCATCCATTTGCTTGTAAGCTTATTACATCTATAAATTTTGCTTAACCTTTCCCAAAAAACACAAAAATGATGATAATTGAGAGTATGATAAATAATTTTATTTGATATGACAATAGTCTCAAGGGTTTTTTTTTAGTCTCAAATTCATCAGAGCAAAAGGTTCTCGAGCGGTCTCTGCTTTGGAGAGATTGAGAATGAATAATTAAATAAATAAATGCATGTGACATAATGATGGTACATTGTTACACTTGTAAACACACAAAATGGAAAAATATAAATAAAAGATATACAATTTTTTTCTTTTCAAAACACAATTATTCACTTTGTTTTTTTTTTTTTTTTTTTTTTAATTCAAACAAATGCAAACAATTACACCATAGTATTATTTTTTTTCTTTCTTTCTTTCAAGCAAGCAAATGCACACACTTGCACCATTATTCAATATTGGTTCCAAAGATCCAGCACGTACACTTAAAACTTTAAAAGTCATTGATTTAACTTGTGAAATGATCAAAGCGAATGGTATCAAAGCAAAGGAAACATGTCCTTGTTGTAGAATGTTGCTAACAGTTTGATTAAATCTTTGGCTTTCTCACTCTCTTTATAAAGATGAAATGCATGGTCCTCCCCTTCTGTCTCATGGATCTCAACCACACCCGTCCACCCGCTCCGACCCAACGCCTCATAGTAAAGCCATGCTCTGTCCCTCAGCAAATCCTTCTCTGCCAGACACACCAGCACCATCCTACACCCCAACCCGGCCAAGCTCGGCGCACCCTCCGCCACCGGGTTAACCCGCGGGTCATTATTCTCCAGTGCCGACGGAAACACCATCTGCCAAAATCCATCCATCTTAGCCTTCCATTCCGGATCCAATCCCTCAGACCCGACAGGATCCGAACCCCAGAATGAAGGATGAACCAGTGCCAGCCCAAGAATTTCAACATGCAGCCGGGACCCGCAACCTCCCGCCATCATGGCCAAGTTATGAGCTATGTTAGCACCGGAAGTCTCACCCGCCACAAAAAACCTGTTAAAATCTGCATAGTTGTTCAGCCAATCCTCTGGTCCGTCGCAGTCACGGTGGGAAGCGACCCATAGAAGTGCAGCCCATGAGTCTTCATATGCAGCGGGAAGAGGGTGCTCAGGTGGTCTTCTGAAATCTACTGAAACAACCACGATTTGAGCCTCTGCGACGAGTTTGTAGAGGTAATTGTGGTAGGAGGGACTGGAGGATGAAGAGACCAAGAAGCCACCGCCGTGGAAGTATAGGAGGACTGGGAGCTTTTTGATCACTGGTCACTGAAAATTTCAAAATATCATAATATATAAATAATAATAATAATAACTTTTAACATTAATTGATATTTCCATTATAAATTGGTATTAAAAAAAAAAAACTTAAGTATATAATATAAATTAAAAAAAATTCAGTGGGAGCGGCTGCCTACACTTGACCCTTCTTACCTTTGCCCTTGGTGGTGGTGGTGATGTTAGGAAGGTAGAGGCGAGCTGAGACATTGGTCTCTGGGATGATTGTTAGGTCTTTGGAGGAAACACCGGTTACAGGATCGGTGGTTGCCGGGACTGAGTCGGCGCCGAGAAGCCTTTCAACATGGCCGTCTTTGTATACTCGGAGGAATGGGAGGAACTCGTAGGCGATTTCATATTTGGCTGAGCACCTGGTGGCGTGTAGGAAGGGGTGAGCTTTTTTGGGTGGGTTTAATGGTTTCTCTTCCTTTAATTTCCTTCTTATATACGCATGGATGGCATATATGAATCACGTGATTCACGTCGTTTTCACATGACACGTAAAGGTGATAATACTCCGCCACAAAATTATCAATGCGAAGGTGATAATATATATATATATTTTTATAGTTAAAAGGTAAATTGGAGAAAGAATATACATGAGGAACTAAAGTCCCCAACAGTAGCTACAACAGGCAAAATGCCACAAAAGGAAGAATGCAACAGGCACAAGGCCACAAAAAGCAACATGTTACAGGCACAAGGCCACAAAAGGTAGAACAAGGAGCATCTCCTGATATATCCAGTGTTGTTTCCAGATAAACCACCAACCAAACCAACCAAATCGACCTCTACGAAATCAGCCATGCGTGACCTCCACGCAAGGAACAGCCCTTGAAATAGAGATTCTACAGGTCATTGAAGGACATAACTTGACTTAATTGTGAGCTGCTTCTAAAGTTATAGAAGCTAACCTTGAACGCATGGAGCAATATTTAATTAATGAGATAATATGCCAAGGAGAAGAAGATTTGTTATTGAAGGCTCTTGAGTTCCTTTCCATCCAAAGGAAGTAAACTGCAACTGAGAGAAGCAATTTGAACTTGCTTTGAATCCAATGAGTGGAGCAACAATCAACCAATTCAACCCAAGTCCTTGATTGAAAGGTGCAACCTGTGACCTCTTGAATGAATCTCCATATGAGAAAGCTAAAATTGCAGTTGAAGAACAGGTGGTCCATTGTTTCATAATCTGAATTACACAAGAAGCAAGCATTTGTATAATGTTTATTCAACATGGGTTTCGAGTCCAGAGTGAAGAATCTATTTCTAATTGCAAGCCAAGTAATGGAGCCACTACTTACCCAAAAACAAAGTAATGGAGCCATGCTTTGGTATGTGGTGCTGGAACCAGAAAATATTGAGGGGGGGGGGGGGGGGGGGGGGGGGGGGGTGTTGGTGGGAGTGTAAGACATTGTGTGAGCAAGGGAGAAGTTCAATGTGGCACTAGGCAACCACTCAAAGGTGATAATATTATGACATGAATGGTGAGTTAACATTTGATTCTAACATTTTATTTCATGCTAGAAGTGGTAGTGTTGAAACTAGCTTTAACATGCAATATATTGATCATGAAATTAAAAATAGTAGTGTTAAATCTCTTTTCGATCTATCATTTTTAGTTTCAATATCATTACATAAGTTGAAGTTGAAGTTGAAGTAATATATATAATAAATCATGATTTTGTGTTGAGTGGATACACAACCCCACGTTGTGTACTGCAGTTTGGTTGGACCTCAAGCTTTTGGATCCCATCAAGTATAGTCTGGATTGTGGGCAACTGAAAAAATTAAAAAATAAAAAATTTGATAAGTGAGCCGAACTTCCTGCCTTATATCCTAAACTTATACAATATCAATCATTTGATGATCTAATTGTGATAATTTTTTTTATTTAAGTAATTTGTTTCGATAAAAATAAGATGGTCCAAATCTCTTTTCTTAATAATTTATAGATTAAGGCAATTAAGAGAGCGCTCTCTTAAGTATACTGACAAGCTCTCTTTTTGCATTAAGAAAGTTCAAAGATTAATAAAAGTTGAGAACGATTGTTAAAAAGAAAATTAATTTCTCGTCTATCTCTTCTTGCAAGTAACCTATCACTCTTTAAATCTTTCTTCATATCATCAAGAATGAAAATTTTTCTTTAATTTTTTATGAATTTTTTTTATGTATTGTTGTATTTGATAAATTTCAAAACCAAACATTCTAACTAATCACAGTTCTTTTTTTCTTCTTGATGTTTGAAAAAAAAAAAATACAGTTGTTTTATTGTTTTCTTCTTAATATCTTTCTTTCAATAACATTTAATATTTTTATGTTTATTCCTATATTTAATCCTCTTATTTTTCTGATATTATTTTTTCTTTTTAGTTGCTGTTAAAACTGCTCCAATCTGCACCAACTCAATTTATTGAAAAAAAAGAAAACAAAACAAAAAAAAAAAAATTTACAAATTGCACAATATTCTGAATTTTTTTTTTTTTTTTTTTTTTTTTCAAGAGTACTAAGGAAACGTTATTTTCTCCATTTGCACATATTTCTAAATTTTCCCAACATAACACGTATAAAGGATAGTTTGTCAATATATTCAAGAGAATACTCCCTTAATTACATTACTCTAAATTATATGAATAAGGTCCATCACAATGACATAACTTCATTCATGAACATTCTAGCTTCTGACGTAATCGCACTCGCAATGAAGAACATATTAAATCAATTGATCAAATGAATATGTAATTTGCTTGGCAGGTTATCAATCAACATTTGTTATCATTATAAATGAATCCATATATTAATTTCGTACATTAATTTGCTTTAATCCTTTATGCTTAGAAAATAAATGGGAATCTCTTACAAGTGACAGGTCCTTTTATTTTATTTTATGTTGATAAGAACTTTATGTTAAAATACATTTTCAATTTAAGATTATAAGACAAGTGTCCAAAATATCTGTGTATTTTTTTTTTTGGAGGAAGTAGACATAAAAGCACCTCGGCTGCTTCCCTTCGAATCTTTAAATTAATTTTTAGTTTTTTCAATATGAGCTCCTGACAATGAGGTTGAGACACCAATTGCTCAAGTATGCCAATAGTTAAAAATAATAATAATAAATAAAAATAAAAATCCTAAAATTGACATAACTGTGTTTGTCGGGAAATTATTGAATGCAATGGTGATGCCACATCACATGGTTGGCGTGGCATTATACAATCAATAGATGCATGCCACATATTTGAAAAATATGATCTAGGTGTCCCATTTAATTTTTAGATGTTTATACCCTCAACCCTTCCCCGACATTCTAGCTCACCGAGACTATGCCTCACAAATCGTGGCATTTACCGCCTACTCTCACTGCACCGACCACACAACCGGAGTCGTTGCACACCTCATTACATCATCGCCAAGATTCTGCATCATCATCACCACATAGGAAGCAGCCACCGACATCAACAAATCTCCACCACCGGCCGCTGGTTCACCTACTCCTCCCTGCTACATTCTTCACCGCCGTTTGGACAACTCCAACACAGTACAACGTTAGACCCACCATTGATAAGAAATTAACGTGCCTTCACACGCGCTTTGTAATGATCCATTCCACCACATGTTATGATATTAAAAGTACCATAAGATAAAACATTAGACCCACACCAACCTTAGACATAAAAGCACCTCGATCAGATGCTTCCCTTCGAATCTTTTAATTAGTTTTTAGTTTTTAGTTTTTTCAATATGAGCTCCTGACAATGAGGTTGAGACATCAATTCTTCAATTATGCCAATATTTAACTGATAAATTTTTTTAAAAAAAATTGATAAAGGCCCTAAAATTCGTATAATTGTGTTTGTCTATTTAAGATATTGGACCAACTATTTTATTTTGTGTTTTTTTTTTTTTTTTTTTTGGACAGTGCTTCAAGCAATAACTCTTTTAGCCAATTCACTTGATGTAATAAAGTGTGACTCAAGTTTTACATTTTGACAAATAAATTTAAGTATTTTAAAGTATTTTTTAATTTGTTTAGTAAATAATATTTTATAAAAAGAAATTCTATTACTAATTTTACAATAATATCTTTCTTTAATAGAATCTTACCATATTCGATAATCGTCATTATTAAAAAATAATAAAAAAATTGTTTACGAAAAAAATAATTACTTCGTAATTGATAACTAAGAGTGTTTTTCATGCTGGCTTCTTGGTCTCGTCATCCTCCAGTCCCTCCCATCACAAGTCACAATACCTCAACAAACTCGTTGCCGAGGCTTGAATCGTGGCCGTTTCACTAAGGGTCCGTTTGGTTAGATAGAAATTGATGATAGAAAGTGAAGTGAAAGAAAAAAATCAAGTTTCTACCATACGTTTGGTTAGCATGAAAGTTTTTCAAGAAAGTCATGAAAAAATATGATTTTGTTAATTTGGGTAGGATGAAAGTGAAAAGAAAGTGATTCAACTTACCAAAATTACCCCTATATCAGTTAAAATTTAATTGTGCAATGGATGATATATATATATATAATAAAATAAGGCAATTACAAGTTGGATTAGACATAATTAGAGAGCAGAGGCTCAACTAAATATTAATATTTTTTTCTTTTATTTTTGAACCTCCACATTAGATACTTTATTTATTTTTCGTTATTAATCAATATTTACGTCTATCAGGTTAGTGGAGTGGATTATATTAAAAAAAGATACACTTATCCTATTTTATTGAAAGAAAAAAAAATTTTGTTTCATAAAAATACTTATTGATAATTGACAAAGTTACAAAAGAGAGAGTTACCCAAAAATAAATACAAAAAGTTAGTTGGATAAAATAGGAAAGTCAAATTAAAGGTATCAAAATAAGAAAGCAATTTCCATGTTCAGCGGATTTTCGAACAAATCCTTCTTTCACGGGAAAATATATTTTCGCGTGTTTTGTTCGTGAAAATTTTTGGGGAAAAATAGGTAGATGCGGGAAACCAAATTTTCTCTTTATTTTTTTTTTTTTTCCTTCTATCCAAACTCCAAAAAAGTTTTAATTTTTTTTTTTTTTTCCAGTTGATTCCATCTAACCAAACGAAGCCTAAGGCATTAAGGTACATTACATGTTGATTCAATGAACTTGAATTTTAAAGTAAGGGTAAAGTGCAAAAAATTCCCCTAAACTATTGTTCATTTGCAAATAACCTCCTTAAAATACAAATTGTCCCCTCGAACTATTAATTTGTTGTAATTAAGGACAAATTCATCACAAAAGACTATTTTACCTTTTCTCATTAAATTTGTCATTCCTTATTAAATTATTTTATTATCATTTCTCTTATTTAAAAATTAATTAACTATTTACCTTAATTTTATTATTAGTATCAATTTATAATAAAAGTAGAAAAAAAAAATAAATTTATAAGTACCATTTTCTAAAATGATTAACTTATTATTAAAACTTTACTATTTATAATAAACCTTATTAAACTAAGTTGAAACTTTTTTACCTTACAAAAATATATTCTTTCTCATACAATATATAATATATTCATGAAAAATTAATAAATTAATTAAAATAAAATACCTTCTTTTTTATGCAATATATTCATGAAAAATTAAAAGATTACTTAAATTGTTTTTAAAAAATCTACTTAAAGATTTTTATTTTAACTATTAATTTTAAAAATTAAAAGTAAATTTATGCAAATTTAATTGAGAGTGTGTCATCAAATTAGTCTTTTTTTTTTCATAATGTATTTCAATAATAAAAAGTAGATTAAGTGTAATTCAATAAGAAATGACAATATAGTCATTTAATGAAAAATA